GACCGGCTCTGTCCCCTGGAGTCTTAGGGTCTGTGTGAGCTCCAAAGGCTGACTCCATTGGAGGCCCAGCATTACAACCCTAACCGGGAACCCCAAAGCCGCCAGGTCCGGCAGAATGGAGCCCAGAGAGCGGGGCCAAGCGGCCCAAGGCCGGCCTCTCTGAAGATGCCACCAATGGCTCAAGAGACCCCACTAGCCAGCACCTCGGCCGGCCTCTGCCCTTCCCCCCTCCTCCCTCCTCTCCCTCCTCCTCTTCCTCCTCCTTTCCCTCTTCCTCCCTCCTCCTCCTCCCTATTCCCTTCCCCCCAGTCCTCCTCCTCCCTCTTCTTCCTCCTCCCTCCTCCTCACCCCTCCTCCTTCCTCCTCCTCCCGGCCACACACAGCCAGCCCTCCAGCAACAGAGGAGGAACTTAGTAACATGACTCCAAGAGGCTGGGCCAGTCCCAGAGACTCTTCAAAGATGCTCACTCACCAGGGTCTGCTTTAGCGTCCGTGACCCACAGGACTCGTGTTTAATTGAAGAGTCCACTTCTTACATTTAGGAAAGTGACCCACCACAGACGCCACATGACAGTAAGAATCTCTAAGTTGGGTCTTTACCTGATTTCTAGTGACAAAGGAATGCTTTCTATGACTTTATTCTGGAGGGAGATTACTTAGGGGAGGGAGCTATCCTTAGCCTGATAGCTTATCCTTGAAAGCCTTGTTTCCCTACAGCCTGGCCGTGTTGCTGTTTCTTGCTTTTCCAGGTGTGCTGTTACCTGTGGAGTGCCGCAGTGGAACCTGAGGGCTGGGCTGAGCCTCGTCCAATAAGCTTCCACGTCCCTCTCACCGCCTACCGCACAGGTGCACCAAGCACACTTTGTGCTCCCTAAGTGTTTCCATGTGGTTTCCTCATAACTCATAAAGATGAGTAATAGCTACCACCAATGGCTGTCTACAGCGTCCTTTCCGGCTCTGCCTCCTGCTAAAACCCAAAGGAAAAAATGACCTGCATGTGCCTGGCTGTGAAAAGCTCTTAATCTAGGGGAAATGCTGGGGGGGGGGGGTTCTGTGAAATATTCTTACCCAGGTTCTTAAAAAAAATTTATTTCTTGCCAGGCACCAATGGTAATCCTAGCTACTTAGGAGGCTGATATATAAGGCTCATGGTTCAAAGCCAGCCCAGGCAGAAACATCTGTGAGACTCTTGTCTCTAACTAATCACATATAAAAGCTGGAAGTGGAGCGGTGGCTGAAGTGGTAGAGCGCTAGCCTTGAGCAAAAGAAGCAGAGGCTAGGTGCTCAGGCCCTGAGTTCAAGCCCAGGACCAACACAAATAGTAATAACTTTTTTCTTGCTTTTATGTTTTATTTTGAAAGCCTCTTTGAGATGATGGACATTCCATCATTTTTCCTCAATTTTCTTTTCTTTCCTGCCTTATTTCCACTTTTTTATCTTGTTTTTGACTTATGCTCTGGGAGAGCTTGTTAACTTTGTCCTCTAAAATATTTACTGAATTTTTTTTCTATTACTACACTTTTCTGTACAATATCTTCTTCTTACTTTCGGCAGATAGTAAAGCTGTCATCCGCACAGGTTGTGCATCAGGGAAATTACTCCCAAATTGATTTTTTTAATATCTGTTATTTTATGTCAATTTTCCAGCAAAGAGTTAATGGTCCTTAGTAAATATTCTTTTCTTCGCTTTAAAGAAATAATTTTTCAATTTTTTTCCCTTAAGGAGGACTGGACTTGTTGGTTTGGGCAAAAAAAAAAAATAATAAGATCTTGAGTTGGAAGAGGGTTTGTGGAAGAACATGATTTCCGAGTGAATGGGGCGGAAGACTGGGTGGCCGGGGTCCGCTACACCAGCCACCGGCCGCGCGCCACCTTCTGCAGTGACTCCGGCCGCCTCCCTGCCTCTGGAGGTTCTGGGGAACCTCCCCGCCCTTCACTTCCCTCCTTCTGTACTTGTGGATCTCCATAGCCCTGGTACAGACAGGGGGACGCCGAAGGTGGCGGAGAGGACACGCAGCTGGGAATGGGGAGAACACTTTGGGAAAGGACAGACAGACAGTTCAGGGAGACACGAGCCAGGATCCGGAGACGGACGGAGATGTGAGGAAACGTTCGAGTGTGAGTTCCAAGCCCAGAGAGACACAAGATGGTGTGGAGTGTGGGCAGGCCGGGGGGGCCGGACCCCATTTTGTTCTCTTCTGAAAGTTAAGGTGGGAGAAATCACTACTGCAGCCACTTCGAGTCCGCACTGTGGAAAGCCACGCCATGGTGCTTCCCACACTTGGGAATATGGCTGGCAAAAGCAAGGACCCTGGACCTCATCCGCTCACAATGGTACTCAACTAGAGAACTCGTGAAAAAGCCAAGAACTAGCCGCGTGCTGGTGGCTCACGCCTGTAATCCTAGCTACTCAGGAGGCTGAGATCTGAGGATCACGGTTCAAAGCCAGCCCAGGCAGGAAACTCCATGACACTCTTATCTCCAAAAAACCACCAGAAAACGGGAAATGGCGCTGTGGCTCAAGTGGTAGAATAATCACTTTGAGCTGAAGAGCTGAGGGACAGCGCCCAGGCCCAGAGTTCAAAACCCACTACAAGATGGAAGGAAGGAAGGAAGGAAGGAAGGAAGGAAGGAAGGAAGGCTGGCCAAAAACTGTGATAGTATCTGATGTAAGGGGGCTTTAGCTTGTAAAGTATATACATATTTATAATATATGCATGCTTATATATTATAAATATATAACATAGCTATTATATATAAGTATATAAATATATTTCAACTGTCATATATTAATACAAGTATATATTATATACAAGCATATAATATATACAATAATATATATAATATATACAAGTAAATAATCCATAACTTTATACACATATTTCTAATTTAAGTATAGTTTCCAAAGATTGATTTACTCACAAGATACCTCTAGATCTGACCTGTGAATTAAAGATGCCTAATTTTAAATTTTAAAAAGTCATTAATTTCACGCCTATTTGTTCGAAAGAAAGGTAGGAGAGGCCCTGCCCCTGCTCAGCACGGGCCTGCCAGTCCTGCACGGTGCCAGCTGACGTCCCGTCCTCCGAGAAGCAGCGAAGACGAAGGCGCTCCCGTTCACCGCAGCGGCTTAACCACAGTGCCACGAAACAAACCGGTTCAGCAATGTGAGTTCCATCCCCATTTTTATTAGGCCTGAGTGTCCCTAACATTGTGTTGACAGAAAAACCAGAAGCAGGCATTTTTCTTCACTTTGGCAAGATAACGGGCCCTGCCCGGCGCCCTGCCCGGAGCCCGGCGCCCTGCCCAGTGCCCTGCCTGGAGCCCAGTGCCCTGCCTGGAGCCCAGTGCCCTGCCCGGTGCCCGGCGCCCTGCCCGGAGCCCCGGCCACAGACACAGGCAAGGCCCTGGCGGGTTGGGAGCTCAGCCCAGCCGCTGCCCTGCCCGGCACCTCCCTCCTCGCCGGGAAGGCTGCTCCACCCCGGGCTTGCAAACTCGAAAGCAGAAAATGGAACACAATTTTCAAAACAGCAGACATTTAAACCTTTCTAGAAAGACTGTGCCAGTGGACGGGAGAGGCACTTCGGAAATAGGACTTCTAGAGAGTACCCGAGAGCAGACCAGCTCTGGACAGACACCTGTTAGCACAAGAACGCCGGAGCCACACCCCTGCGCCCGCAGACCAGGCATGCTCCTTCCGGCTGGAGGGAAGCACGCCCCCAGCCAGCTCTTGGATCTAAGAAAAATGCCACGGAATTTTCTTCACCCAGTTGCCTCCATTGCGCATGGTTTAAAGTTTTATATCTACATTTTTCGATTTTTATCATAAGCATAATTATATA